GGTCCTCCCCTGATGCACGCACCATCTCTACAAACATGTCCGAAGTAGGCCTAATCAATAATTTAAATTATATAATTTGTGAAATTTCCGATGGAACTTTCGCAAGCAAACAACAAAATCTATGCAATGGAAGCGTGTGATCTATTGGAGAATGGGGAAAAACCAACTTCCAGTCCCAAGCTCCAAACTCAAGAGATTTCGTATAAAGATTTACTTGACCTCACCGAAGATATTGAAGAATGGTAGAGGCCCACATTTTACTTTTTTTTTAAGTATACATGTTATTTTAGCATTTGCACATTACAGTATTCCGTAATAAAACGTTCAAACATATTTTGCTTGGATTTTCTGTTTCTGTACTGTGAGGTGAAAAATAGTACGGTATATATTGGCCGAACAATAGTAAATACCTAAACATGTTTTGTCTCCACCGTATAATAGCAGAACTGTGTGCACAGTGGTATAGAGAATCAATAATTATTAGGTTTTCTATCTATATGCCGAATTATAAAATATCGATAAAACTAACAAAATAAGATCATTTTAATTCTAACCAAATAAGAATATTCAGCCTCGGCAAAATTTTACCAGTACATATAAAAAAGAGTGTAGTGCCCCACAACGGGTCCCCTGTGCTAGTAATCATAATAATACTGAAATATAATTGTTTAGGTCTATTAATAAAATATAGTATCATAATAATGTAATAATTGTAATAATAATAATGATGATGAAGAAAAAAATGTAGTGTAGAATGATTAAATTTAAATACCTAAACACTTACTTTTTTGTTGTGCTTGATTGTTTGCGCCAACAGGTGGTTGGTGGGGGTGGAGAGATTTCCCGTCCAACAGGACGGGACCCCTATCGTCCGATGCCATGACGAGGTGGTCAGGCCAAAAATATTTATTTGCCTATCCAAATAACGTTATTTTGATTGCCATTTCCTTATATTTTGTTTGATTTAAGGCACAATTTTGGGCCATACTAAGCCATGAAAACTCTCCCCGACCAAAAGCCTAGGCGACCAATGGGTTTTTTTCCAACCTTTTCAGGCACCACCCCTGAATAACAGGAAAGGGAAAGTATTGTTCTTGTTAATTTTCACATTCATAGTAATACCAGAAGTCACTAAAATATAAATATGTTTAGCCAAACCCTATCCTAATAAGACCAAAGATGGGATTTTCGTGTCTTTCGAGCAAAACATTGTTTTCTATTGGGTTTATATTGTGGCAGTCCATTAATTAAATATTTGTTTTATTTTATTCTTGTATGTACAACATTGTTTTGAGATGGCATTTTTACTTTGATGACAATTAAATTATTTTTACATAAAAAAAAAAAGTTTTTCCCGCCAAAATGTATGCCATCTTGGGTTTTTTTTCGTTCTGACGTCAGCAATCCGATCAATTTTTTTAACGAGAGTAAAGAGTAACTATTTAGCCAAGTTCTTCTTACATTTCATATGTAAAAGTGACTAAAATCATAAATTTATTTCCCTTACCCTCATCTTAATTAGTCCAAAATAGGGTCTTTTAGGCCTAAATGTTGAAGTGCTATTTAAAAAAAAAAATTGCCCAAGCCCTATGAATGGGGATTTTTTTTCTGAGACTATATGGTATACTGATTCAGAAAAACCCAAAATAAATTTTCTGGTACTTTTTTCCTCTAATTTTTTACTGCACCAAGTCTAGCAATCAAGGTACTGTAGTTTGAAGCTGTCAAATGTTGTTGCACATGCATAATGGTGGTATTGAAACCTTACTTAATTGGGCCTTAAAATGTTAGTACTAGGCCTAGTAGCATAACTTTGTGTATACTGTAGACCAGTCATTGCTTCTCATCAACTCCTCCATGGAGCATGGATGACGACAGTAACAGTATTATCAACGTAATGTTCATCATCATCATCCTTATCCTCATGATCTTCATCATAATCATCATCATCGCCGTACTCATCACCTTCATAATTATTATCCTATAAAATATAATAATATAATACTGTAATAATATAAAATATCCTATAACATATAATAATATAATATTAATATAATATCCTATGTTTACTTCAATATTTGTTTTTCAATATTTTTTTTATTAGATTTGTTTACGAGTATCAAGACTTATTTGATAAGATTTTAATAGATTACAAACACGATACGCAGAAACTATATTTCTTTGTTAAAGTACCCCCTCGCGTTCGTCGTGCTGACAAATATGTGGTGGATGACGACACAAAATGGATTCGTACAACCAAGTTTAGAGGCTGTGACCCATGTATTATCGGCGAGTCCTCGGTAATTTGTTTGGAATTCGATCAAAAATTAGAAGAAGACCTGAACGAAGTCATTAGACTTTTCGAAACTTCAGGCACATTTAAAGTACACTATGCACATGTCGATTGCAAAGAAGCATCTGCCAGTTGTCCTGAATTGGAATTCTCTAAATACGGTACTGTATATGCGCTTGAGTCATTTTTCTCACTCGGAACGATATCAACACTTAGAAGTGATGAATTAATACGCCACATTCAAGTAGTTAAGAAAGAAACCGACGAAGAATCATTACAGAGAGCACTATATTCGTTAAGTAGACAACTTGAAAATGACCATTTCATTGATCTTAAAGAAGCCTTTGTCTTTCTTCTAAAGGAAGAAAAGAAGAAAACCAAAGAAGAAGTTCCAGGCAATTGTATGTACGTTCGTCGTATCTACTGCACTCCGACAAGGCTCATAATTGAACAGCCAGAATTAATGTTCAGCAATAGGATACTGAGACAGTACGGCGAAGAATTCTGTGCTCGAATCGTATTCCGAGACGAAAATTATCGAAAGCTAAATGGCATGGAAGCGAATAGTTCTACTGATATAGCCGAGCGGATCATTGAAGTTTTGTCGAAAGGTGTACAAATTGGTGGCCGATGCTACAGATTCCTTGCGTGTTCTAATAGTCAGCTGCGTGATCATGGGTGTTGGCTATACGCAGAAGACGATAATGGTAACATAGGAGAGACAATACGTAAAAACATGGGTGACTTTCGCAAAATAAATATAGTTGCCAAGTACATTTCTCGAATGGGACAATGTTTTTCAACTTCAGAATCCGCGTTAAAGGTCGAAGTTGAATCAGGTCAAGTCGAATTTGAATATGATATTGAAGGTGGTCTTGACAGGGAATTTAAACCATATTGTTTTTCTGATGGAATTGGGAAAATTTCTAAAGCTTTACGGAACAAAGTAAGTAAAATATATTATTAAGTTAGTAAAAGTTAGAGAAGAGATAAGATGAAGAAAAGGTGGCGATAAAGATGATGATATTGATGATAATAACGATGATGATGAAAAGGACTGTAGCCGTATTTACAGGTATCTATGTGGCACATCATTAAACAATGAAAATGCATGCTTGAACTTGGAGGCTATACCTCCATGCCTTAACCGTTTATGTATGGTCCAAATTGACAATATACAGTATGTCAATAAGGAAATTTGGATTAAGTCCATGTACGGTGGTCTCGCAATGTAGCACCTACAATTGTCAGAACACCGATCACACAATGTGCTACTCCTTTTTCAACTAGTGTGATGAGTTGTTTTTGTGCACAATTTATATTATGTACACGAGCCCAACAGTTAAACAACATTCTGAATGAAAGATGAGGCAATTTAGCAAAGAGTTGTCTTAATCAAGGGCATAAGTAGAAACGGCATCGTTAGGGCTCACTGTAAGTTTTGAACTCGGTCTCCCGTAGCACTACACATCAAACTTTTACTGCTGCGCTAATATCGATGTAAATCAATCTAGTTCGTGTCTTCCTTATTTTGTTCGCCAGTATAGAGGCTGACTCAGTTAAAAACATGAAAGAAAAAAATCTCTTTATGCTCACATAAACTGTACACAACTTGAAAATATACATCCTCTATTATACCAATTAAATATAAAAATTAATTCTTGAAAGATGAATATACCGATACTAACAGTATTAAATACATATTCAGGTGTGCACAAAGTTAAACATCAAGGCAGAGCCATCGGCCTTTCAAATCCGCTATGGAGGATGTAAAGGAGTTCTTGCAGTGGATCCGACACTTTCTGGTGAGAAAATGGTAATACGTAAAAGTATGCGTAAGTTCGAAAGCGATGATTGCGACTTGGAAATCATGACGGAGTCAAAACCAGGTATGTATTACATTTTATATAATCATTCTTACGGTACACCACGTAGATAGTTATGAAAAGAACTGTTGTTGTTGTTGATTGAAAATATCTTGACAAGTCGATTGAGCTGCTTCTATTGTCTTCAGGAGAATATTATTATCCTGAAGACGATTGAAGAAACTCAATCGAAACATCAAGATATTCTCAACCAACGACAACATTTTTTCAGAACTATTTACATGGTGTACCGCAAGCATTAATATATATTATTACTTCGCCATGCAGACCTTCAAACAATATTTTGTTCAACTCTACGGGGACCCACTACATCATCGCAGTGAAACATGCGACAGTGATTAACAACTTGACTTTTCTCCAGAGATGCACTATGAAAGGTTTCCAACTGCATTCTGTAGAAGACAACATGGATAGCATTTAAACTAAACTCAACCATCCCTTACCAGAAAGGGACTTCGACAAAGTCCGCAATTGGTCAATAACCAGAAGGCGACTAACCTTTGAGAGAACACGCAAGAAACAGATAAAGAAGTTCAAATGTCTCATGCAATAACAGAGAATCTTCAAAGCTGCTCTTCGCCGTACAGAGTTCAATGCTAAGACTGTAGTCAACCTCAGCAATCGCAATCTGTCAACAGCTGAGAAATCACTACTTGTCCTAGGCTTGTACTTTGCTACGGCACCTTCAACAACTATGCCGAAGTAAGAGATCATCCAACGAGTAGAACCATCGCCAAATGGGATTGAGAAGACCTTAGCTGACAACATATGCATGCAGATTTCTCAAATACTACGTAAGGACACCAGGCCAAAACCTAACGCCAAAAAGAATGGACGAGTAGCATTAAAGAGATACAGGGCTTGCCCTACTATCCATATTATACAAGCAGAATGCTACGGTCGTCATGGATGTCGCTCAGTATAACGAGAAGATCATGGAAGTCTTGAACACCCCTACGTATAGGAGAATCAAGAAGGACCCTACACATGCCATTGAAAGGAAGTTCACAAGAAAACTACTCAAATTACATCGTTTGGAGGCGCTTTTGAAGACACTGTACAACCAACTGTGACCTTCAGCATCCATATGCCCCAGACTGTTTGGACAACGGAAAATCCACAAAACGGACATACAATTACGGCCCATCATTTCTTTAAGAGAATTCCCAATGTAACCCCTAGCCAAGTATCTTGCCCGATTATTGTATCCCTGGTAGGCAACACTGGTCATCGTGTCACCAACCCACAACACTTCATGAAGACGATCCAGAATGTTTACCTCGAACCAACGGACACCCTCGTCAGCCTCGAATATCATCTAGAAGGGGACCTTACCCACCAGGAAGAACAGCACTCAACCCAGAACAGATTCACGAACTACTTTTACTGTGTCTACTGTCTACCAGTTTCAAATGGCATGACCAATTCTTTGAAGAAACAGAAGGCATGGCCATGTGATAAGATCTTCTTTATCCCAGTCATTGCTAACTTCTTCCTCGAAGAAATTGAACAGCTGGCTGTTCATTCCGCCACCCAACAACTATAACTTTGGCTCTGATATGTTGATGACACATTCATCGTTTGGCAGCACAGTAAGGTGTACCTAGATGGTTTTCTAGTTCACTTGAATTCTCAGCAGAAAACAATCATGTTTACAATGGAAGAGGAGTACAATCGCTCTTTGCCTTTTCTTAATGTTTTAGTCGCCAGGCAGAATACAGGGATTTTGTCACATTCAGTCTATCGCAAACGAACTCACACCGACAGAATATCTAAACAAACGCTCGCTTCACTATGAAAGCCCTGACTGTAGGAAATGGGTGAACCCGTTGGACAGTGCAGTGCCTTTGATGATTGATGATTTTGGAAATGCACAACCAGGAAATGTCAATGCAGACAGGTTCGTACAAAGGGGTGTAGACCAGGTTCCATATAGAACTAGGTCAGGTAGAGTAGTAAGAAATCCTAATAGGTATATTGAAGAATGTAATTTGTTACAGGGGGAAGATTGTGGTAACGGGAACGAGAGTAAAGATTGAGGGTGTGAGGACTGCTCCTGTGTGGGCAGGGGGTTCTGGGATGAATCGTCGAGGAAGGATTGAATAAAGATAGAGACTAGAATTGTTATTGAGATTTGTCGGAAGTTTAACTTATTTGTGGACATGACAGAGTTAAGGAAGCCATGAAACTGAACGGTCATCACACGAGATACATCAAAATATCCAAACGCAGCAATAGCGAAACGTTGAGATATTCTCAATCAACAAGAAGAGTTATTTTTTAAAATATATATTATTAATATATAGGCCTATACATTAATATATATTATTACTTCGCCATGCAACCCTTCAAACAATATTTTATTGCATTTTACAAATTCTCAAATGTTAAGTTTTGAGCAAGTAAATAGATGTATATTTTTTACACTCAAAAGCAAATACATACACTCTTCACTTATAGTAGGCCTGATTAGTGGTGCTTTTCACAAAGTCTCATTATAAAAGGTGCAGTTATGTTTGTGAAGAAAGACACCCTGGCGTTTCAAATAGAATTTGAAAGCAAATACGTTAACAAATTATATTTCATTGCCGTGATCTAATGAAGTTACATTGTTTTAACCATAGGCCGATTGTTTTTGAACTATCAAGCGATCACATTACTTTCTGGAAGAGGCGTACCTGAGGAAGTATTTATTCAACTGCAAGAAACCATGCTATATCGTCTGGCTAATATGCTGTTCGATGAAAGTCAATCAGCTTTGTCATTGAATAAGTCTGTACGCAATGGTATGGCGTTCAACATGATTTCACAAAGCGGTATTTCACTGACCCAAGAGCCATTCTTTAAAGGAATGCTAAAGGCACTTTATAAACACTCTGTGGGTAAGTACCATTTTTTTTTAAAGAGAATGACTAATAAGTATACTGCATATATAAGAATTTTTATTTTATGAAAACGATTTTTGTCTTTCTATAAGGTCATCTGAAAAGAAAAGCTCGCATAGAAATTCCTGAAGAATTTGGAAGAAACATGATCGGTACTCTTGATGAAACAGCAACACTGCAGTATGGTCAAGTCTTTGTACAATACTCGAAGGACATACTTGCTCCTCAGAAAGAAACTATTATTCACAAAGGTCCTGTTGTGATCACAAAGTTCCCAGCCCTTCACCCAGGAGACATTAGAAAGTTGGAGGCCGTTGATGTTCCATCTTTGCATCACATGATAGATTGTGTTGTCTTTCCACAGACAGGTTTCAGACCTCATCCTGACGAGATGGCAGGCTCTGATTTAGATGGAGATGAGTACTTTGTAACATGGATGCCACAATTATTGATCCAGAAAAATGTCCCTCCTATGCATTTTCCATCTTCTCCACCTACAATACATTATGGTGAAATAAAAGAGAAAGATATGATACAGTACATATCAGATTACATTAAGAATGATAGGGTAGGAGTAATTGCCAATGCCCATCTGACATTTGCCGATTCTGAAACAGATGGAATATTTTCGGATGTTTGCAACGAACTTGCCAAGAAGTTTTCCAAAGCTATAGACTTTCCTAAGACAGGATCCTGTCCAGAGTTAGAAAAAAACGAACACCCAAAAAAGTATCCTCATTTTATGAACAAACGAGACAAAACAGTCTATATATCTGAAAAGTCATTGGGGCAGCTTTACACACAGTGTCGAAATGTTGAATCAATCACATGGCAGCAAGATGGTAGAGATCAGTATAAAGGTACGCAAAAAGACCCGCACCTGTTGTATCCAGGATATGAAGATTACATTGAAGAAGCTGAGAAGACACGGGATGAATACAACCACGATCTCATGACAATCATGACACAGTATGGCATTGAGAATGAAAGTGAGATAATGTCTGGCTGTTTAATCACTCTCAGCAGGCGCATTACAGAACGAAACGAACGATTCGATACAGAGAGGCTAGTGGCTGAAAAAGTTAGAACTCTTCGTAGAAAATACAGGGAAAAGTTTGAATCAGAATTTGATCAACAAGGAATATTTAGCAAGGAAGAGATCGACTGTAAGCGATATGCCAAAGCCACAGCCTGGTATTGTGTGACGTACAAAATCAAAGACCCGGAACTCCTGAGCTTCCCCTGGGTTATGTCTGATGTCGTGGCACAACTGAAGAAATTACGTTCAAATCGACCATTAGATAAGAATCCTGTATTTGGTAGATTATCTAATGAGATAAACATGTATTCTAATGGGCAATATATGCGCATCATTAAACCAAACTATTTTCAAGTACAACACAGACAGCTTAATAAAGTAAAAGACATCCTGGTAGAATGGGATCGTATGCTATACCCGGGAACAAATGATGTTAAGAGAACTATCGCATTGGTTGAACATTTTGAATACTTTGTTTCCAGTAAATATGGATATTCTCCACCTCCAGAGCCTTCGGTAATTTTTTTAGATTTTTTGGCATGCCTGGGCAGTTTCAAGTCGAAAACATCAGGTAATCGTCCAGACCGAGGTCCAATCTACAAGATTTCTAACCAAAATATTCAACGATATTGCAGAGAAGCTGAAAGAAGCTATCATAAGTTGGCAGTGTTCGGAACGTTAAATTGCCTTTTTGGCCGTGACTACCATGAGCAAAATTATGAGCACCAGTTTAATGTTGGTCCAATTAAGTCGGAACATAGAAAAACCTTAAAACGGTGCGTACGTGTGGTGAAACGTTCAATGGACATTTTTCTTTGGTATCGATCACAGAGAAAAGGACGATTAGAATTTTGGTACCTCACATTCTTCGGATCATACCAGCAGTTTCTGGAAGTCGACAAAATCGTAGATGCATGGGGCCGTCACCAGTTCATCACTTCGGCGCCTACCTAAGAGGTAATTTGACTTCGATAATTTTTGTTTTAATCAAGCCAAAAAAGTTGGGGAGGTGTGGGGAGAGAATTCTGAAAAGTAGAGATCCTGAAGCAGTTCGATTGGTTACTTAAGTGGGATAGGACAGATGTAAACATTAAGGCGAATGCTATATATTTTTCCAAACTTGCCAATGTCCATCTTTGCTTACATGAAACACAATAAAACATCCCGTTTGAGTAGACTCCGAAATACACAGAGCTGTTCCTATAAGCCTAGGGTCAGGAGCGGGCCCCGGAACTCTGTTATTCTAGTTTTTTTGAAGAGGAATGATTGAACATAATTTTTGGACATCATTAAAATTTAGTTTTTCTTTGGTTTGTGTGTTAGGTTAATGACGTTTTTCTTCAAACATTCTTTGATATAAAGGAGATACGTGGCCAGGCGCTGATCCAGAGTTTACCCTGACCATAGAGAAAATAGAACACACATTGAATATTGCACAAGTGGGGTCCCACGGTGGGAGGGGCTAGCGGTGACTCCAGAAATGGCTATTAACTTTGAAAATATATGTATTTGAATACTACTTTCATTCATTTTCTGAGGATAAGCCCAGGTTTGATGAATTACTAGGAATCTATAAAATGCATTACATTGATCCGTCTATTGCGTGAATACGCCAGTCCTCTATGGTGGCATACGTCTATCAAAAAGAAAGTCTGATGAGCTTGTATTCATTCGAAACAAGCAGTAAAAACCCTCATTGGTTACCAAAACGCTATGCCAGATACGTCAGCTTATTCTCAATGATGTTTGCAAATGTTGTCGAATTTACTCAATCTGCATTACAAGCTATGCATTAGTTAGCACTTTTCGAACCCAGAGACTTGCCAACTACTTACTGTGCATACAAAATTCGACTGTTTTTAAAGCAACATTCCGATAATTGAATATTACATATATTTGTATAACAATATATTTCCTATTTCTGTACAGCTATTATTGTTAATTAATGACCTATTTTCTGTGATATTTTTAATTAGTTGAATAGTCATTGAATGATTGTAAATAACTATTTAATATCATTGTTGTACATTGTAAATAACTGAATGATATACATAATAATTTTAATAAATGAATAAAATAAAACAAAATATATTCAAATAATAATAATAATAATAATAATACTATCTGTAAGCATTTTTATAATGATTCGTATATGTATACAGTAGAGGTTTTTCGATTTATGTATTTAAGTGCTGTACGTGTGTTTGCACTGTAAGAGCAATTACTTTCAGCCCTTATATTTTGAAGAATTTGAATCCTGTAAGTAAATAAAATAAAATGGCATTTTAAAGCAACATTCCGATAATTGAATATTACATATATTTGTATAACAATATATTTCCTCTTTCTGTACAGCTATTATTGTTAATTAATGACCTATTTTCTGTGATATTTTTAATTAGTTGAATAGTCATTGAATGATTGTAAATAACTATATATTATCATTGTTGTACATTGTAAATAACTGAATGATATACATAATAATTATAATAAATGAATAAAATAAAACAAAATATATTCAAATAATAATAATAATAATAATAATACTATCTGTAAGCATTTTTATAATGATTCGTATATGTATACAGTAGAGGTTTTTCGATTTATGTATTTAAGTGCTGTACGTGTGTTTGTACTGTAAGAGCAATTATTTTCAGCCCTTATATTTTGAAGAATTTGAATCCTGTATTGTCATAAGACAGGAGAAAACAAATGTATAGATGATGCGCGCTGTGTGTTTGGTAGTTACAGTTCAGATTTACTTTATTCCATTTATCATGATTCAGTAAGTAAAATACTTTAGTAAAAGTAAACATAAAAATAGAACTATAAATGGAAAGGTTCCAAGGCAAGCATAAGCAAACACAAAAACTCGAAATAAAAAGACAAAATATATATATTATATTAAGAAAATAAAAGAAAAATCATAAAAACAAATAATTCATTACATTTCATGATAGCAACTTTGGCATAAACAAGCACCTAGTATTGATAAGCTACAAAATTAGATCCCTTTTATTGTATTAGGAAAGAATGTTATGCTTTACAATGAAAGTAGGTTAATTTAAAGCAGGATACGATCACTTCTCAACTCAATGTCAAGATGTATAATTATGACCAATTGTAGATACATGCTGTTTTTACCATGGGAATGACAAAGATACGCATTTCATGTTGTCATGTAGGAAACTTACTTGTAAGTGCTAAAAACAAACTTGCATCCCGTTCTGGTCTTAATGGCCTTTTACGGTTAAGGTACGTTTACATTTTGATTTCTAGATTCCAACTTACTAACAATTCTAAAAATGACTGGTATTGACTGATCACTTCAGAATATGGATCCCTGAACCCCACCCCCTCCAATCGACAAAGTTGCTACACTACTGTAATCATTATGTATTTCCATGTTGTTGACCCAATAGATTTGCCACTTGATTTGACAATTCTTTTTAAAGAAATATTCCAATTTAATATATATTGTATGTGTTTTTTTTTTTTTTTCATACTTCTATAAAGCTTTCATTGTTAATGAGCGGCCTATATTCAGAGATATTTTATTGATTGTTTTGTAATTAGTTGAACAGTTAAATGTAACTTAGTCTATTATTTTTTAATAATTAATTAAATAAAATAAAACAGTAATATTCAATTTTTAATATCTGTAATTATTTTATTAATGATTTTTTTTATATATATACTTTTTCGATTTATGTAATTTTATACCGATTAATGTAAATAGTTTGATTTAATGCAATACCGGTGTGACACTTTGCAGATCCCAACTCTGTTTTTAGTTGAAGTAGTTTAAGTAAAAATTATTTATTTCTTCTTGTAGTTATAATGTGCATTTAAGCTTTTCTCTGCGCAATGCGTTACATATGATTGGCATTATTATTATTAATGAAGAATGTACTGAAACTGTTGTAAAAATTAGGCATATGTGTAGGCCTATTTGTTACAGTTACAGTGCAATACAATTTTTTTTTCCAGTTCAGTACCAATTTATTTAGTAAGTAAAATACATTTATGAAGTAAAAGTAATCTTAAGTGATACATGGAAGGTTATCCACTGTTCAATATTTTATTCAGTAAGTAAAATACATTTATAAAATAAAAGTAATCAATATTTTATTTTACCTTTCTGCATAACTTTGTTCTTTATGTCCAATATTAGTTTAAAATGGGTTTTTAAATAGTAAATATAACATTCATATATAGGAATATCGGTTATTTTAGTGAATGCCCAATGCTTAATTAGATGTGAGCATAGCTGGTGGTGTTGGAACCATATTGATGACATCCCGGCCTCTGAACGTGTACTTGATTCAAGTAAAGACTTTACTTCTTCTCTGGACATCCATCTTGCATCTTCCAATTCCTTCTCATCTAAGTTCAACTGATAATTTAAAAAAATATAAACATGAATTTGATTAACAACCAAATGGAATTTATCTAATTCATTGTCAAACCCCCAAAAAAGCTTAAAATCTTGTTAGCCACTATGTATGTTATATATCATTATGACAAGTACCAGTATTCAGTCGTATAGAATAGGAGGTGGTACAACTCATGAGGTTGCATTCAACAGTCAAACGAACACCATTACAGGGCATCCTCATACAAATCTGAAATGTATTCTTTACATGCCGCATATGTTAGATACAAATGACTTGTGTTTATGGATGTGCTTTTGAAAGACGCCCTCTAAGTTATGGGGGTACATTTTCGAGAGAATAGAGTATTTCAAAGAAAAGCTGAGAGCTGAACCTCTTAGAATTCTGTACTCATTGAGTACACTCGATTTCTAAATACATGTCGCAATCAAAACTACTGTAATTTAAATTGTGTTAAAATAAAAAAAAATTCTTGGTATGAATTGTGTACTTCACATCATAAAGAATCAGTTTTTGAAGGTGTTTAATTTGTGCTTTCCATTTTCTGTGACTAGCACTAACAGAGCTTTAGAATAAAGATAGTAAAACCATAAAAATAAAATCATGTTAAAAACTGTATCATTGAGAAGATTGTTTCATTGAATCAAAATGAAATATAAAAATATTATATACTGTATATAAACTGTAACAGTATTTATATTGAGGAGTGGGTTTGCATGTATGCTCCAAGTGAAATAAAATGTAAAAACAATGAAAAAACAGTGTACAATCATTGAAGGTTGACTTGCGGAACACAAATTTATTAAACTATAATCAAAACGGATATTTCGATAACCATAAAAATAAAATCATGTTAAAAACTGTATCATTGAGAAGATTGTTTCATTGAATCAAAATGAAATATAAAATATATATATATATACTGTATATAAACTGTATATATATATATATGTATATATATATAATATATATATATATATTGAGGAGTGGGTTTGCATGTATGCTTCAAGTAAAATAAAATGTAAAAACAATGAAAAAAACAGTGTACAATCATTGAAAGTTGACTTGCGGAACACAAATTTATTAAACTATAATCAAAACGGATATTTCGATAGCTCCTGCTATCTTTATCAATGTTAAAGTGAGAAAACTTTGGAGATCTTTGCTATAATAATAGGTTGTAATTTTAACTCAACAGACGACGTAACACAGGTATGAAATGGATAATTCGGTTAGAAACTCACATTAAAGGACTAAATAAGAACTTAGGCTCTACATGTGATTATGCCTTCATACGCAATAATTCACTATGAATACAGTATCTAACTATATATGCTATATATTATTTCTACTTATGTACATTTTATTATATTCATTGCTTTCTAAACTGGATTTAATAGTCATCATGATATCATGTCTTATATTATTTAAACTCATACATATACCATTATATTCCTATCAATTGTTTTAATTATATAGGACCTTATATAAATCTTACTATACAGTATTTCATTTCCTGTTCATACTGTTTACTGTAGTTAAATTGTCGATTAAAGCATGGACCTATTAATAGGTCCATGATTAAAATCTTAGCATTATGCTGGTTCAATGGCACCGCCAATAAACTATCGCTTACATAATCATTTTGCTGACATCTTATGGTTTAATTGTAATTAATTCACCCATTAACTTGTCACAGAACTTTCATTTTGTGGTCCATCAACTTGTATCTTTAACTTTATTCCGATTGGTTAATACCATTTACTATTCTTTATGTATGTGTAAGATCTCACTTTAACGTTGATAAAGATAGCAGGAGCTATTAAAATATCCGTTTAAGAGTTTAATAAATTTGTGTTCCGCAAGTAACAACATTAAAAACAATATTTTCAATTACATTATAATGCACAGGGCGAGGTCTCTCCCTATAAGATTGTTTATAAAACCATTCTGTGGTAAGGGTCATACCTGATGTGCGGTGCCTGGTATGATAGTTGCATAGCAACCTATCATCAAACCGCGTGGGGAATGGCCAATGTTGAGATTGCTGGTAATGCACATTGTCAACCAGAAGTCTAACCTCAGCAACTTCTCGCCGTGTATTCATCTCTATTGTTTCACCTGAACAATTTTGAAGAGAAATATAAGTGTTAACAATTTTGAAGAGAAATATAAGTGCTCATATGAAAAAATATAATCATTATTGTCACTCAATTAAATGTACATTTAATGTAACATATATACTTTTCACCATATTGCTCCACAAATGAGAAATATACAAAGTTCAAAAGTGGTGTATATTAGTTGAAAATTTCCAGAAATACACTAATTCCGTGTAATGGCTGCTTCACTGCTTCTCATCAAGAAAAAAACAAACACAATTTCGTCAGAAAAAAAATTCTATGTAATGTTTTACAGAATGTGAGACTATTGTTTAAATAAGCCTTTCAGATTCCTAAACTGTTACAGTTGGTTGGGGGCTTCGCACCTGAAACCCACCTCAGTGGTTCTTAGCTGCCCCTCTCCTCCATCTAGGCACCCATCGAGGAAACTGGCCTTTCCATTAGGTACACCATCTGTCAGGGAGATCGAACCCCTTCACACAATGCTAAGTTGTCATTTGCATGCCTATTGCTAGGCCACGTTTCTCAATTCATGGCAACAACAATGGTTGTTTAATTGATCTACAGAGCTGAAATGCTACACAGCGTACCTGTGCTACGTGTCTGATAAGCTGCCCATATGGTTCAGAAATACCCTCTAGTTAGGTTGTCTCTTTAGGTCTGTACCAGCATTAGGTCAAGTGACCATTGCTTTCGCAAATCGCAGAATCTGTTAGTTGGTGTAATAAAAATCTCACCTATCTCACAGAACCCATCTAAGGCACTAAACATCCCTTAAGGAAATGTTGGTTGTCTCACAACTAAACATTTATCACCGTCCATGACTAACGTTATAACAATTGGTACCATCCGGTATACAGAAGAAACAAAGAGAACACTTTGAATAAAGATAAAAAACAGACACTGACTAATCATAATGTCATTCAAACAATGATTTGGATAATAACGATGACTATGGATGATGGTAACAATGATTAAACTACAATATTGATAATGATGACTGTGATATCATGGAGGAATAACCTCCATGGTTAAAACTCCATGGTTAAAAGTAGCCATAAAATATGTCAAGCAGTTGACACACGCTTCCACGGGGACTATTGTGTGGCTACTTAACTCTTAACCTATCCACGTTTTCTGTACAAGTTTGTTGACGTTTTTAATGAACAGCTTAGCTCAGTCGGTGGTAGCCACTGTGTGCACTGAACCGTGGGGATATCTAGGTCCCCGGTTCAATTCCCATCGCTGCCTCTCCTGAGTCATGTTTCAGCTGGAGGGCTGAAATACAAGTTACCGTCTTTCCGTCAACTCAAGCCGTCGGTCCCGTGTGCATTTATGGTCCATGTGTGCACCTTAAAAAACGCAGTACACTCTTCGAAAAAGAAGAGGGATTTCCTCCCCGGTGTACTGCCCAATCACCACCAGAAGGACCCCATTTGAAATAAGTCTTCTTCTAGACTTTCGTGGGTTAACCTTGGTGTTTACACCGAATCATTATAGGACAGGTCTTCTATGTTGGCAACTCACTTGAATAACTTCAATAAGACAGGGTCTCATATGTAGCATGGCATCATTCCATTTTTACGTTTAGCTTATGACCCATCCCATCATTCCTCCACCGGATCTACTCTTACAGTTTCCAGACCATAGCTATATACACATCTGATGTGTATAAGAGACAGGTTAAATTACTGTCGATT